TGTGGGTGACCCTGTGGAGGGGAAAGGGTAGGGTAGAACACACTGAGAGAAAAGCAACAGGCTTGGGCAATGATGGGCTTTGTCATGCTGTAGATTTTCCTGTAAAAATATGGTGCTGATCCATGTAAGAAAATGTGCTTCCTTAAGACAGTAATAGTGATGCTAATACCTAGCTCTTAGGTGGGGCTTCGCATGATGATGACAGTGGTGATGATGAAGGGGAGGAGAGGTTAGTGGTGATAAATATTTTTAAAAGTCTGTATTAATATGAAGATTGATACAGCCAATATTAGAAATACATTTTCAGTAGTTCAGTGGACAGCCCAACAAGTTGCTTACATCTTTCCTGGATTTGAACTGCATAATTTATGAGACCCATTATTTTTGCCTATTTTATAGTTACTACAAATGTTTTTGACAGCATCCAGTTTCTTATGTGCTCTCAAAGCACTAGGTTGTGTGGAGGAAAAGGAGAGAAGGTGACTTGCCTACAGAGGGGAGATGACATTTGGAAGGGGAAAGAATTGGAAGACACAAGGATAACAGATACAGGCTATTGTGTATTCCTCCTTTGCTGGGTGCCATACTTGAGACACCCATGTTTGATTTACAGAGCAGCTGAAACTGGAGCTGAAGCCAATGGGAGCCTATGTAAACTTATAAAGTACTATAAAAAGTTAAATTGTTGAAACTTGGATTGCATGCATCTCATAGTTGAACACTAGTTGGCATTCTCCCATGTGAAATATCAGAAAAACTGTACCACGGAAACTCATAGGGAGTTCTGAAGATAAAGCCATTAGTGTTTCTAAAGGAATAAGTTATATTGTGAAGGGCTCCACAGAGTGTTAGGAACTTAAGATTGGAAAGTAATTATTTCTGTATTTGTTGCAGGTTCAGATAGTGTCCAGAGAATAATTCATAGAGGGCACACTGCGCAGTGTAGACAAGAATGTTGAATAGTCTTTTTGGGGGGGGCAATCCCTTGAAGTCACAGATGATTGCTTGATGGTTGTTATCTATGTGTCTGAAGATGGCTGATTAGGCCTACCTGGGATCAGCAGCCTTTACTGAAGCTTGGACATGTGTTTTCATGTGGGTTGAGTGGTGCTGGATTCTTGATTTGGTCCAAGACACACTGTTTCTGCAGCTCATGCTTTTCCATCTCCTGTTGTTATCGTGAGGCTTCAAAGTACTGAAATCCCTGCAGCAGACTCTTCCACTGTTTGAGTTGGTCCTGAACTAGTCTCCCATGAGTTGACATCAATGTTGCTTTATTTTAACATGTCCTTGAAAACATCCCTGAAGTGTTTCCTATGCCCCCATCCTGAGCGTACACCTTGGCTGACCTGGGAGCATTTTGCTCAGGAGTCTGGCTTGGACATCTGGATGAGATGGCTGGCCCAGTGAAGTTGATGTCTGATGATCATCACCTAAATACTCATGGTGTTTGCTAGCAGAAGGATGTTAAAGTTGGTGCATCTGCCTTCCCACTGGATTCAGAAGATCTTCCACAGGCAGCACTGATGGTACTTCTCTAACAGCTTTAGATACCTCCCGTACATTGTCCTTATCTCAGTTCTGTACAGAAAGGTGGGAACATGACTGCTTAATAAACCATGACCTTGGTTTTGGTTCTGATGTTGCAGTCTTTAAACACTCATTTCTTCAGGCATTCAAAGGCTTCACTTTCATATCTGAAGAGATGTAGGACTTCTTCATTGATGTCAGCCTTTTCCAAGAGATGGCTTCCAAGGTAGGGAAATACTCATTGTTCTCCAGAGTCTTACCATGGCTCTGGATTACTGGATTTAGGACTGTTTTAGGAGCTTGTTGGTGAAGGACTTTCATCTTCTGAATGTTAAGAGCATCAGTCTCATTTTCATGTATGTCTCAGTAAAGATGTCACTGATTGCCTGAGACTCTTCTTTCAAGTGAGCACATACTACGGGATTGTCAGCATACTGAAGCTCAGTGATTGAGGTCAGAGTTATCTTGTTTATTGCTCAGAGTTGGCTGACCTTTAAAAGCTTACCACCATTTGGTAGTTTAACTTGTTGATGGTCAGATGTAGCATCATGGCAGGGAATATTGAGAAGAATGTTGGACCAATGGCGCAGCCTGGCTTAACTCCCATTTCAAGCTCAAAGGCATCTGTGATAGATCCATTACTGAGAACCATAACTTGCATACCATCATGAAGTAGGCAGTGAATGGCGACAAATTTGGTGGGCACCCATAATTCAGAAGGATTCACCACAACATTTCTCAGCTGACAGAGTTGAAAGTGTTTGTGAGGTCAAAGAATGCTATGTAGAAAGGCTTATGTTGTTTCTGGTATTTCTTGTGCACCTGGAAAGCTGTGAAGATCATGTCAGTTGTGCCTCTTGATGCCCTAAACCCATGCTGAGATTTTGGGAGAAGCTCTTCAGCAAGTGCAGGAAGATGGTTATAGAGGGTTGTCACAATTATCTTTCCTGTGGATAGAAAGGCAGTCCTCCTGTAGTTTCTGCAGTTGGACTTGTCTCCTTTCTTGAAGATTGTCAGACTCATGGCATCCCTGAAATCTGGGATTTCCCCATCATTCCAGATCATTAAGATGATTGCATGAAGCTGTGATGTGAGCTCCTCTCTCCTGAGATTGAAGATTTCCATCCCCTCCAGATTCATCATCATTCTCATCAAACTAGTCTTGATGTTTCCTGGTAGAGAATCTACCTCTTCACAGGAGCTGATGATAGTGGCCTTGAGGGCGATTCACACATTGCTGACATTTTCTCATTGTTGTTGATTGGTATTCATGTTTCTTATTGAGGCACTGGTTGAAGAGGTCTTACTTGCTTGGATGCTTGAGTCCTTCATTGTTGACCTTCTATCAGTATTTCTTCTGCTGTAGCTGTCACTTGGGAGCCAATATGACTGACATAACTAACAGATGAATCAATGGTCAGTCCAGCAGTCATCAGCTCCTAGCATAGCTCATGTGATGCGGACATGTTTGCAATGTTCTAACATCTACTTCTGCCTGTTCTGCGATTGAGAACTCACAGATCCATGGCTAGGGGATGGGCAGGCATATTATAGTGAGGACCTGGACTCGTCATGTCACAGCCCTATCACAGGATACATGTGGCTTTTCAGGAGAGAGTCTTGACATCTCTTCTCCTCACTACATCCTGGTGGTGCTGCAACTGCTTGGTTTGTGACAGCTTATTCATCAGAGTTACCCTTGCTTATTTCTCAGCTAACCATCTCTGAAGGTCATTCCATTAGCTGCCACTTGTGGATGCATGGGATTTGGGCAGGAGTACAGCTCTGCCCCACAGATTGAATATCTTTCTTCTTGTGCAGTGAATGAGACAGGCATCATATTGAAAAATAGTACATGGTTATGCAATTAAAATTTATATCATAATGCCCATGAACAAGAGTGCTGAATGCATATTGAATGGAGAGTCTTAATACTAACATTTGCTAAGCTTTGAGTGCTTTTCTCTGAAAACCTAATATATAATTTAAAATGTATTTTGTGTAAGTAATTTTATGTTAATGTGTCAATAGGAATTAACTTCCTCTTTCCATTCTTCTGCCTGAGAGGAGGCCATAGGCTGTGATTCCTCTCCTTTTCCTATCTCTACTCTCTCTTCTCTGCTTCAGGACAAGACATTTTACCTTGAAGTGGGCTACCACTTGGTTCTGGTGCCATAGAAGTTGGTTAGCAGCCAGCTCCTCCCAGCTCTTGTTGGCATCAGTTTTCTTGAGGTATGCCTTCAATGTGTCCACCATTACACCTAAAGGAAACTGTAAAGGGCACCTCCCCCACCACAGCCTGAGTTGGGATTCAACACAGCTGGACCACAAGGGTTGAGGAGTACACCTTGCCGAGATTTGTTTTAACATTACCTCCCATTCTAGTCACATCAGAAATGGCATTTCCTACAAAATAAATCTTTCAGTATACCGATGCTGGTGTCAGATCAGTGCATTATGGGTTGTGCCCCATGGCCACATTCTGCCAGTTGCTGGTGGACAGCACCCGGACCTGAGCAGCAGTTTGGCTGGGGACTACTGCAGACAATGAGGAGAAGGAGAGGGAGCCTAAGGTCATGCCAAATGCCTCCTGAGTCATGCTGACATCCAAGGTTTGTTCTACCTTGGCTCTTCTCCACTGGGCAGGCTGCCTTGGAAAATAAAGCCTGTCTGACCAGCCCGCTCTGCAGGCTCTTCACCCAGAACTGAAGCAGCGAGGGCACTTCATCCGTGCAGACCTTAAGAGCCAGGAGTGGCCAAGGGGTGCCTCTCCAGCTCTCTGGCAGCTGGTTCTGCATGTTTTTACACACTGGGATCCCGTTAATGATTTTTCAGTATAAAAGAGCAATGAAGTCTGAATCGGGATGGAGAACCCATGATAGATAAAACAAAAGGAAATATAAGAAGAACGGTGCAGTCTTCTCATTTCTACCTATTTATATTTTCATTGACTTCCTGTTACACTTTCTGCGTCCCTCAGTCCTGTTTTCCTGATTTCCTACAAATTTCTTTTTGACTGACAGCGCCTTTCTACCTTGTATTGTATCACTGCTTTCTCCCTTTGGCTTTCCGCCTCCCCCCCCGCCCCGCCCCGCCCCCCGCGCCTGCTTCCCTCTCCCTCACCTGCTTTACCTTTCGTCTAATTTCTACCTACTTACATTTTCACTGACATCTTGCTACACTTTTAGCTGCTCTTATTCCTTGGAGTCTCCGACCAGCAGGGACTCCCTATGCCTGAAGAAGGGTGACTGCGCCCAAAAGCTTGCCTAAAACTTTTTTCCAGCTATTCACTCAGTTGGGCTAACAAACGATATCACATCTGAAAGAACCTTGCCTGCCAATTTCCAAATGACATTTACATGTTGGGACACAGGATGTCGCTGTTCTTCACAAAAAATCTTTAGTGGGCAGGAAAATCTCAGCTCCTCCCTGATTCCGAGCTGACAGTTCAGTCCAAGTGCAGAGGAGGATGGCGGAATAGTCCTGGAGGCCCCGGGCGCCGATGTCCTGGATTGAAACCGGCTGGCGGGGATTTATGCAAGTATTCTCGTGTCTCACCAGCCACGCAAGTGCCGCTTAGTGTAACACCGCTTGGACCTGCCATGTCGGCGCCCAGACTAGGCGGCCCGGCGGGGAGGCAGCTGCTGCGTCTGGTGCTGCTGCAGGCGGCCTGGGCGGCGGGGAGCGGCCCGCTGCAGTACTCGGTGCCGGAGGAGGCCAAGGCCGGCACGCTGGTGGGCCGCCTGGCCCAGGACCTGGGGCTGGAGGCCGGCGCGCGGCGCGGAGGCTGCGGCTGGTGTGGAAGGGCGGGCGCGACTCGCTGGAGGTGAAGGCGGAGAGCGGGGCGCTGGTGGTGCAGTCGCGGCTGGACCGGGAGGAGCTGTGCGGCCAGAGCGCGCGCTGCGCCCTGCACCTGGAGGTGCTGGTGGACAAGCCGCTGCGGGTGTTTCACGTGGAGGTGGAGATTCAGGACATCAACGACAACGCGCCCGTGTTCCCGGTAGGAGAGCGAAATCTCTTTATATTAGAATCGAGACTGCCGGGCTCCCGCTTCCCACTAGAGGTCGCATCTGATGCGGATATCGGCACAAATGCTTTGCTGAGCTACAAACTCAGCCCTAGCGAATATTTTTTTCTCGACTTGCAAACCAATGGTGACCAAAGCAAATCCGCAGAACTTGTGTTGAAGAAACCTCTGGACCGCGAGGAGACCCCCGTGCACCACTTGCTCCTGACGGCGACTGACGGGGGCAAACCGGCGCTGACGGGCACTGTTGAGCTGGTGATCACGGTGCTGGACGTGAACGACAACGCGCCCGTGTTCAGCCAGGCGGTTTATGAAGTGAGTTTGCCGGAGAACGCAGCTAACGGGACCTTAGTCATAAAACTCAACGCCACCGACTTGGACGAAGGGGTTAACGCGGAGGTGCGTTATTCGTTCAAGAGCTCAGACTTGGACGAAGGGATTAATAAGGATATTTCATACGCCTTCAGTAGTCTTGTTTCTTCCGTTGTGAGACAATTGTTCAGTATAGACTCAGGAAGTGGCGAAATCCGAGTTAAAGGGGAACTGGATTTCGAAGACACGAATTTCTACAGCATTCAAATTGAAGCTACGGACAAGGGCGCTTACACCATGTCCGGACACTGCCGCGTTGTGGTGGCGCTTGTGGACGTGAACGACAACGCGCCGGAGCTGTGGGTGACGCCGCTGTCGGTGCCGGTGGCGGAGGACGCGGCGCCGGGCACGGTGGTGGCGCTGATCCGCGCGCGGGACCGGGACTCGGGCGCCAACGGGGCCGTGACGCTGTGGCTGCGGCCCGAGGCGCCGTTCCGGCTGGTGTCGAGCTTCCGCGACTCCTACTCGCTGGTGCTGGCCGAGGCGCTGGACCGGGAGCGCGTGGCGGCCTACGAGGTGGAGGTGCGGGCCCGCGACGCGGGGGCGCCGGCGCTGGGGGCCAGCAGCCGCCCGGC